CTTTCTAATCTTCTTTGATCAAAGGACTTGATTGTAAAGTCAGGAGCAGATCAGAAATATTTCACTTGTTCGTTTTTGTCTGAGAAGATCAACATTTTGGAAAGACAAAAACAATCGTGATACAAGTTTTTACTCATCCACCAGGTCAACAGTGACGAATGCTAGGGGTATAGTTAGAGTTGAGCTTTGTTAAATAGGCAAATGTCACCTTTCAAATAAAGTTTCATATAATTATTTTGGCATAACAGCTTCAATTTTAAATAGTTTTCACTTAATCCAAATAAGTAAAAGTACTATAAAAAGTGGGGGACATTAACCCAACCTAAACCCTACCCCTCACCCGAACGCTAAATGTTTTGCTAGTGGCATGCTGGTTGTTAAAAAAATAATATTTCACTCGAGTGGAGTAATGTGTACAAAGACAAAAGCGTAAAAGTTTCTTCTAAACAGGCTTGACTCCTCCATTAATAGATATCCAGTTACCACCAAAAACAGAAGCCGAAAACATCATCTTCTCCACCCTCAACCCCCACCGCTGCCAGATGAAGGAATGCAAGAGATCAGTTTAATTCAAACCCACTGTGTCATTTCTCATTAGTGAAGCCTTCAACAGCCTAACTCAGCTCTCTGTCCGTTCGGTTGGTGCCAGCACCCAAACTGCCAGGCAACTGCTTTAATGTGAAATTCAAAACTAAAAACTGCATTCCAGTGTTACAGCGGCCCATGCCACGTGTTCATCTTTTAGCATTTTTTTTAAATTTTTTTTGGCTCTAACTCGTTGCCTGTCCACACAGGCGTATTATCTGTGACGCTATCTGCCACGACATTGCCTGGCTCAAAGTGGAGAGTCTTGGCTGAACCTCTTATATCACAAATGGCAGATGTGTCATTCATTTTAATAAAAGTGGCCTAATATCATTACAAAGCTCTCAGCATGCTGGAACTAAAAATAAAGCTGGGCACAGTTAAGTGTTGTAGTGTCAATGATGGGTTGAGTTGAGTCCTCCACTTCCCACCAGCGTGTGATTTCTTGGTTACTGCAGCCCCGTGCACATGCAGGATGGAAGGACGGGCGCAAGAAGCTGCTGAGGGCTTTTAGCGGCATCCGTTCGGCAGCACTCCCACTGTGACAAGCATGCCATTTATTTTCTTATCGCACTTTCTCTAGTTGATCATGTCCTGAAAGAGTGGCTTATTACGCCTAGGATAGGGAGGGTACTCTGCCTAATTAATACCCAGTTAAAACCAGAGACAGCAGGAAAGATGGCCCAGATGACCTTAGAGTGAGAATGTCAACATGGCTTTAAATTTATGCAGTCTGGTGTTGCAAGAAGGATTCGTGTCCTTTATTTAATTTAAAGCAGCAGTAAAGCAGTGTGTATAGAGTGGCCAGATGGACTCGTTATCAGCAGTATGCACTTAAAATATCAAGGTAAAAGGATCTTACTTGCAGAAAAATGGCCTCTTGCATCATTACATCCATAATACTGATGCATCAGTCTGTAAGCAGCATTGTAACAATGTAGCTGTCACAGTATTTGAAAGCAGGACCAAAATGCAGGACCCAGGCAGACACCAAATGACAAAAATGGACCTTTATTTAGCTGGCAGTCCAACTCCAAAAAAAATAAAAGTCCAAAATGAAAACAAACCGATATCCAAAAGGCCATCATAGGGAGCCAGGCATAACAGAGAGCACAAGAGGGGAGATTGACAGATGCTATGACAATGCTTCACAGTGTAATAAGGGAAGTGGAAATCAGAAATAGGTGCAGAGAATAATGACAGTCACAGGAACGAGGCAAAAGTCAAAGCCAAACAAAGGTGACAACAACTTCCAAAGTTAAACAGGTGAAAGCAAAAGAACCCAACAAAGTAAAGAGAGGCAAGAAAGCAGAATAACAAAGAAATCAAAACTGTGGCTGCCGGTGGAAACTGCGCTACTGTTGGCTGAAGATAGAGAGGGATGAGAAAATGAAGTCAGAGAGGCAACCCTGCGATGGTTCGGACATGTGCAGAGGAGAGATAGTGGATATGCTGGACAAAGACAGAAGGAAAAGGACAATGGCTGTAGTGAAAGAGGACATGCAGAGGGTTGGTGTGACAGAGGAGGATGCTAGGGATAGGGTGAGATGAAAGGAGATGATCCACTGTGCCAACCCCTAAAGGGAGCAGCCGAAGAAAGAAAAAGAAGAAGGAGAAGGATAGCTAACTCAAAACATAACCAACAGGGAGACAGTAGGTTTTTATACTTTTATAGTGCTGGTGTAGGTTAGTGGTAGATTCACAGCACATTTGAAGGGTGATGAGAGAAACAAAGTATTTCTGTACAAATTAGTTTTTTGACATTGAACTGTTTCAAATGTGATATTTAAATGGTGCGTTTTGGTAAAGTGGTAGCAGTTGGCTGCTTTTTTTGTAAAAAGTTATGCAAAAATTTAGGGAGATATTTTATAACATCATAAGGGTTTTTTTGTAAAATCTTTATGTGAAGCCCTGCGATAGACTGACAACCCATCCACTCGCCCTATGATGGTTGGGATAGGCTCCGCCCGTCCTCACTCCCAACCGATGGCAGGTAATGGCTGCCCCTCCCTGAGCCTACTTCGGTTTCCGAGTTTTTCATTCTCAGTGTTGGGAAGTGCTTGCTCATAGGGCGTAGTCTGATTGCTGGTGTTTTCTCTGTAATATCTTCCTCTACCTCTTTACCTTACAATACGTATTAGATTTGGAGCTATAGAAATAAAATGGAATTGAATGGAATTAAGTGTAGGGAGTAAAAAAAATTGCATTTTTTTCAGAAATGTAATTAAGTAGAATTATAGAAGAAACGTTTTATTTTACGTTGAGAGAAATGCATGAATTCATTAATCAATGTTGTCGTTAAAATAAAAAATCTATAATTTTTTTGAGCAGCCTGTTGCCATCTGGTGATAATCAGAAGAGATTACCTTTCCAAGGCATGAAACAAGTTTAACTAACAGTGCAAGGTTAATTCCTGGAACCGCATGGTTCAGTGAGCATCGCTGCAACTCCGCTCGGCTATGACGGAAAGGGCCGGAGGGGCATCAGGTGTGTCTCCCGTTCAGGCCCTTCCTTGGGTGTGAGGTGTTAATCCAAAGTGAATACGCAATCCTCGACACAGATTCGTACAGTTCAGAGGCTCCACATCAACAATGCATGTGGGCGAATGGAGCAACACTTACACATGGCTGCATTTGAGAGATGCAAATCAGTTGTCGCACACACCTCTTGTGATTTGTCTTCATGAGAAGCGGCAAAGATTTAGGTTTTTTTTAACCTAGAGGAAACTATTGAAAAAAATGACACTTCCTCATATCTTGTGATATAAAAATAGACAATAATTCGGATTTTTGATGCAGATATAGGGTACTTGAAAAGCAGATGGCTCACATTTCACAATAGAAAGAACGACTTTAAAAATAGTTAACGTGCAGCTATATCCAGCCGGTCCAGACGTCATTTGCTGCGATGAAAGCCGAGGCAGATGCCAAACCGTCCATTCACGATGTAACTGGATGTTTCACTTCATGTGGATTTATAGGGACGCCCATGCTATTGGGTTAATACTGTATTATCCCGAGTCAGTATGGGCTCGTTACACTGCCCGGCCTCTCTCCTCGCAGTCATTCTGTCTCATCTTAGTCCAAGCCATCTGTTACACGCGCGACTCGAATCCACGGCGTGAGGCTGACATATAAGTTACCACTGTAACAGACTATTACTGACACACACCTCGCAGTAAACTAAAGCCAAAGAAGAAGATGAGCGCGAACAGGTGCAGCTCTTTGCAACATAGAGACATATCCTTTGAAAGTAATTGCGTGCTGACTGCTGACACCCTCTCTAGTGCTGGGGACAGGGTGTAGGAGCGGGAGCTATGTATAGGCCGAATCTAAAGGCATGTATGCACCTATAGCCGCACACATATGGAGACAC